GATACGGGCTTGCACGGACACTGCAGCGAGCTCCAGGCCCGGGGCTGGGCTCTTCAATCTCCCGCGTGCAGACACCCTCTGCACGCTTCCTCACCCAACTCTGTAGCTGACCATTGTAAGCCAAACTTGTAATTTCTTGTACATTTGTTTATCTTGTATTAATCTGTTCCTCTAGTAAACCCTGACTGATACAAACTGCCATATTAAAATGCCACCGATTGGTGTCTTCACCAAAAAATTTTTTTCTAACAGTTCTAGACAACCAAATCATATTCAATGGTTAGGCTCAGTGTTGACTTTATGGGGAAATTTGATTGCGTTCTTGTTCAATTCAGTGTGTGACCAGAATCATGGAAAGAATTAAGTTTGTGAGCCAGTGTACCAATAAACACAGAGTCCACCAAAAGAATGTATACACACTTCAGAAAAAATAGTATGACTTTTTTCAACAGATAGTGTTACCCTCATGTGGGGGACCCTAGAGGATGTGGTATATCACAGAAAACCCACTACACTGGTGGCCCGTAGAGAATAAATTGAAAAAGCATGTGCAGCCATCTCAGTGCTCAAGGTTGTCCAAGCTGCAGTTGCTATGCTAAGAAATGTCTGGCAACTAATGGCCACCACCTGAGCACCTCTTGTAAATGTAGGGGCCAAAGGTAACTTATATTAATCTCATAATATCTCAATACATTTTATATTAAAATATTTAGACAAGTTTTTCTTTTCCTGAAGTGTATATTCTTGTTTTTCTTTTGTTTTGACAGACTCTGTTTTTGGTGGTTGTTTTTGCTGATGGTGGGAATCAAACCCAGAGCTTCATGCATGATGCTGGGTAACTGTTCTACCACTGCCTGGCATGTATGTATTTTCAAAAAACACATAGTGTTTTGTGTATGTTTTAAATTTGGAACCTGTAAAAACTTTCCTTAATCAGTTAAAAGGAAACACCTAGTACCAAGAAACTTTGTTTCTAAAATCGTAGATTGTCAGAAACTTTGTTCTTTGAAACCCTGTCAGCAAGACTGAAACATTCCACATTTGTGTGAAGGGTCTGAGTCATTTTGACACAGAAAAAAGCAGCCAGGTGCACAACTTCAGATAAAGGTTTTTTGGATACAACATTCAGTTTCTCTTAAAGTAGTAGTTTCCAAGGAAACAGGATCCTGAGATTGTTTCTTGGCCCAAGTCTGATGTTAACTCCTTTAAGTGCAGTCTTGCTTTATGAGCCTGTGAAAACAACACTGCCTTTTACGCTTTAACCTCTGCCTTTCCCCAGTACATATTTTGTAACGCCCTGTCTTTCCCTATGTATAGTGGGACACTCATGTTTCCTTTGGAGAATGTTCTGCCTTGTTACAGCAAGTTAGTAAACTTGACCATTATTGGTCTACAGTTTTATTCCTGCTTTTTCTTCCAGTGCTGAGAATTAAACTCAGGGCCTCACACATGTTACGCAACTACCCTACCCACTACATTACCTCCCCAACTTTTTTAAAGATTTTTTTTACCAGTTGCTCAGGATAGCCTTGAATTTACATTCCTTTGCCTCATCCTCCCAAGTTGCAGGGATTATAGGCATGCACTGCCATGCCTGGTTTCCTGATGATCTTTATCAGATGAGCTTTATAAAAATATACATGAATGGTATTATGGAAGATCTCTCTTTTTACTTTTTTAAAAAAATCCACCCACTATTTGGACAATATCCATTCATGTTGTCATGTGTAAATCTAATTCATTGCTTCTAACTTCTGGATGGATTCCACCTTACAAATACATGCACACTTCCATACATCATCTTGTTTTATCTGTTTTCCTAGAGGTAGATAACCAGAGTTGCTTCCAGTTCCTTTGTTCTACAAGCAATGCTATCTGTCCTCATTCATTTCCTCTGAAGCCTCCTGGAGGATTTTCTGGGGTATAAACTTGAAGTGGTACTGCTGCATCCTGAGGGGTACTGCCAGGATTTTCCTAAGTACTGCCAGAAGAATAGTTCCAATTTACATATTTGCTAGAATTTGGTATTATTTCCTGCTTTCTAGTGTTCTCCAATTTAATGAGTATAAAGTAGTATTCTATTTTTGTTTCTATGTGCATTTCCTTGACCATAGGTAAAGTCAAGTATCTTTTTTATGTTAACTGTGTAGTACTTGTTTTGCTTCATATTTGAATTGCCTATTGATGTTTCCTTTCCTTTTAAAAACTGGGCTTTCTGCTGTTATATAAGTAAGGCATGAAAGTTAGTCTTTGCCCTGTTATAATTTATAAATAACATAAATGATTTATAATTAAGCAGAAATTAGATAATAGAGTTTTGTACTATGTGGTATCTCCTGAAAGTGTGAAAGATAATTCCTTGAAATAGAATTTCATAGGCTGCTTTTAGGGGCAGTTGGGAGGGAGAAACTGTGACTGATTTGAAGCATAAGAGAGAGGTAAGTGATGGAGTAGAGACCACCGTGTAGAGTGTGGGTAAAGTCAGAGGAAGAAAGGCACACAGTAGTTCTGGAGAAAGCAAGGAAACAAGTTTGAGTAGAGGGCGTGATTGGGGTAGTGTTAATGAAATTTGTATAGGCAAGATTTATTGCTAAGAGCAGTAGTCGGTCTCTATGATGGTTAATTTTGTGTATTAACTTGACAAGTCCAAGATAGGAGGTAAGACATCATACCTGGGTGTGTCAGCAAGGGTGTTTCTGGATGAGATCAACATTTGAATTGGCACAGAGAAGAAAACAGATGCTTTCCCAATGTGGGTGGGCATCATCTAATTTGTCAAGGGCCTGAGTAGAACACAAAGATGGAGAAAGGAAGAATTCTCTGCCTGCCAGTTTGAGCTGGGACATTAGTCTTCTAACTTAGGCTCAAATTTGTGCTCTTGTGGTCCACAGGTCTTTGAACTCAGACTACAACTACGTACTACTAACTCTCTTGTGTCTCTGTGTTGCAGACTAAAGATCATGGGACTTTTCAGCCTTTGTAATTTGTATGAGGCAATTCCCAATAATACAGCTCTTTATCTATATTACATGTAATATGAAATATACAAAAATCTACCAAGATATAATATTAAATATATAATAAACCTCTTATCTACAAATATTTATTATAAGAAGTTGGCTCGTGCAGTTATGAGCAACAAGGAGTCCACAGTCTTCCCTGCACGGGCTGGAGATCCAGGGAAGCCACTTGTAGCTCCAGGCTGAATTCAAAGCCCTCTTGGTTTTTTTTTTTTAGAATTCTCTAAAGACACAGCCCCTGGGCATGGAGGTAGCTTGGTCAAAAGGGTGTTTCAGAAAGTCCTGATTTTCCTATGGCAAAAGGATTGGGAAGTTAGACCAGTTATTAGAACAGATTATAGGGGAACAGAGAATCTTTATTTGGACTGAAAAGAAAATATGTCCTGATATGTCCAGAGTGTTAGCATTGGGCTGGTAGAGGATAATTAGAAAGATTAGAAAAAGGATTTTGTGATACCATATAAACTATGATAGCATTCTCAATGAGTCTTAGCCTTTAGTCTTATGGATTGTCAATAATATGATACTCTCTGAAACAGGATAGTTCGGGAGGAGAAATAAGCAACAGAGAACATAAATTGTAATGGTGTCATATTTTAATTAGCATTTGAAAAAGTTACAGGGTATAGGGTTTTCACAAGTTCAAGATTCTTTTTCCCTTTTTTCCCCACTATCAGACTTCCTGGGCTTTCCAATCATTCTTCTACGCACAAACTTCCATTTACTAAGCAAGTGCTGTTCAGAAACTTGTCCGTATTCCCTTACATCCTGAAAAATACCAACCAATTTTTGCACAACTGGTCATATTTTGTGATACTCAAATGCTGTACTAGAAATGGCAATTCTACCAAATGGCATATTTTGTTATAATGATTGATTTGCTTATGGCTTGCTGACTGCATCTGTGTTGTAGGCTCTTTGGCTAACTAATATAGTTTGTTAAAATCCTATCAGCAAAGTGCTGCTACCAGTGAACATCTTCAGGGATTCCGAAATAGCCTTATTATACAGAGCTTGATGTTATACACTAATGACATTTATTAGAATGGAATTCTATATGTATTATTACTTCCGACAGCAGCCTGGCTTTTTTAGCTCCTTCACAGCATGCAGCTTTGGTAATTATGCTAATGCTAGCTGATTCATGAGGACAGCTTCCTAAAGTGCGCTTAATTAACTTGGAGATTTTGTAAACAGCTGTACGTATAGGTTCCACAAATTGTGGCGATATGTCAGCGTGACATGTGTGCAGTCTGCCTTCCTAGCCTCATCGCTTTTTTACTAAAGTGTAAAATGAGACACTTCAATTTGGTACCTTTGAGTGAAGATGGGGACAGTCTGACTCTGTTGGGCCAGAGGAGTTAGAAAGATGGCTCCCTTTTTAATTGGAGGAAAGTAAAGTATAAATTTTTTCTCTTTGGAAAAGGACACAGATTTTCCAAGATTTTACCGCACTGTGTGCTCATCAGCGGACTGTTCTGGCAATCAGATTTCTTATTCATGATCCTTTTTCTTTTGTGTTCCAGCTGCTGGGTTGATTTGATATCCTCGTCTGAATGGAAACTAACTGAATTTTGATGTATTTTATTAAGATTTCATTCTCTTTAATGGTAAAAAGACAAGACTCATACCTAGAAGATATAACCAACGTTAGCAGGGCCATACCAGAAATCACATACAACAAAAATACAGGAGAAAAATCACATCAGAGCCAAGACTAAGCTAGTCAAAATGGAAAGGAGAATTACCAACAGGAAAGAAGAGAAGGGGAAAAATACTACATATAATTAGAAGGAACAAGAGTTGCATAGCGCAAATGACAATAGAGGATAGAGACAGTTTTTAATAATCTTTTTATTAAAAGTGCATGAAATTACACTCTCAGACAAGTCTTAGAAACTAAGTTAGGGATTTGCCAATGGTTTCTCAAGGGTCCTGGCAAGGACTTAAATCTGCATCAATTTAAGCTACAATCCTAGGTACAATCTCTTTGGGAAATAGCTAGGCTATATCTAAAGACAGTCGAACGTTATTGCTTAGAATTGTCTTTGACTTCAATAGTCAGCACTTCCTCCCCGGTCTCAGCAGAGGGAGCCATGCTGATGAGGACTGATTGACCGGTAGTTTCTTTCAGTAAAGCTGCCCTTCCCATCGACTGGGGCATTTCCTCTCCTGTAATAGAACTTGCTTCATCTTTGGACCTGTCTAGTGTCTTCTCTGCTGGTCCTCTTCCTCTGTCTTCATCTTCTTTTCTTTTACCTTCTTCTCCTTTGGAGTTTCCATTTTTTCCCTGGAGGAAGCAGTTACAAGGAATTAATACTGAATAATTAAGGACGGGGAGTCTTTTGGTCAGCATGCATCATTCAGGGCCAACCCAAAGATCATGAGTTATGCGACTCGGGGGATCATGCCTGCCTTGCTTCCAACTCTCATTTCACTAAGTTTTCTGGTGTGCTGGAGAATGGAGCCCAGCTGTTAGGTTTGATTTACAGTGTTAGTCCACATTGCATTTTTTGTCCCCGCCAAAGAATTTTCTTCTTACTGGTCATCATACTCATAGAATTACTAAATGCAATGCATGGGAATTTTGTTTTTGCTTTTTAAATTTCTGCTTTAAAATTAAGATGAAATTTTAAGTATTTACCTCTTAATTTAAAAAGTGTTAACCAAATCCAGTCTTCTCCTTTTGTTGCATGTGTGCTTGAACTATCCCTTTTGAACTACTGTACTTAGTATTATCTATAGAAATTTCATAGTAAAAAAATATGCTGTGTTCTTTTTTTGTTTTGTTTTTTTTTGTTTTTGTTTTTTTTGGTTTTTCTCCGGTACCAGGAACCAAACTCACGACCTTGCACTTGCCAGGCAGGCGCTTTTGCTGCTGAGCTAAATCCCCAGCCCCTATGCTGCGTTCTTTACTGAAGGTGCTTGGGGTACATTTGAGAGACACTTGCTGAAGGAATAAATCTGCACAGATAAAGTTGGAATCTTATTAACATGTTTACTTATATGTGTCTTACTCTCATGTTTTTTGGGCAAATTATGATTTCTGTGCCAATACAAATGATGCATTTGATTTACTGTCTATCTGTAATTCTCACTGTAGTGCTGCATGGGAGGAAACGAAAGAGGCAAATTTTAATCTCTTGAATGTGAGTGGCTTTATACTATTTGGTTATTATTATTTTTTGATTCTTTGAGACAGGGCCTGACTATATACAGACTCTGCCAAAAAAAATGTATACACACTTCAAGATTGTATACACACTTCAAAAAAAAAAAAAAGTATGATTTTTTTCAACAGATGGTGTTACCCTCATGTGGGGGACCCTAGAGGATGTGGTATATCACAGAAAACCCATATAGCACATGTGGTATATACACTGCTGGCCCTTACAGAAGAAACTGAAAAAGCATGTGCAGCCATCTCAATGCCCGAAGTTACCCAAGCTGCAGTTTGCCATACTAAGAATTGTCTGGAAGCTAATGGCCACCACTTTCAGCACCTCTTGTAATTGTAGGGGCCAAAGGTAGCTTGTATTAATCTCATGATGTCTCAATAAATTTAGTATTAAAATATTATTCAAGTTTTTGTTTTCCTGAAGTGTGTATAGTTTTTTCATGGACTCTACATATCGTGCAGGCTGATTTGAACTCCTCTGTAGCCTAGACTGAACCCACTATCTTCCCGCTTCAGTCTCTGAGTGACAGGAGTACTCAGGTAGGCCCCCATGCCTGCTGCTTTATTCATGCTGTAAAAGGTCTGCGACTATCCGTTTCTCATAGTTTTAGAGATAACATGATGGTTATATTCAGAAAACTTAAATCTCTGTCTGTTTTTCAATATCTGCTCTCAGACTTTTTAATGAAAATCAAAGAAATATAGAAATAAAAAAAGAAAAAAGCAGTAACATTTCTTTATATTTCTAGGAATTAGAAGGCAGGTCAGTGTAAGCATGTAAGTCTGGACATTGAGAAATAATTATTATTATTTTTTTGCCTTGCAACTAAATCTGATCTTCTCCAAATTTCTTAACCTGGATCTCAGTTTCATCTATGATATAAAGGGCTTGAATGAACTCTGTAAGGCTGTAAGTTTATTTCTGGCTTTAGCCTTCTTTTATGTTTATTAGTACCTGTTTGCTGAACAGAAGGATTCCTTTCATTGTGGTGATTTGGTCCATCTACATAACACATCTTAAGTCATTTTGCTTCCCTTTTCCCCCCCATCCCCTGCTTCCCTGTATTTCTACATCCCTATCCTATTTGCAAAGGATCTGTCTCCCTAGTTTGTATTACCTGTATTTTCTTTTGCTCTAAATTATTTATATTTTGAGTTTCTCCTCTAAAAGAAATCATGTGATATTTATGCTGTGTCTCATTTATTTTACTTAGTATTATGATCTCAAGGGGCACCCATACAAGTAACTACAAATAACTCAGATCTATCATTCTTTATGGCTAAGTAGTACTCTATTATGTATATATACCACATTTTCTTTATCTAATTATCTCTTGATGGGCATATAGGCTGCTTGCAAGATTTAGCTGTTATGAATTGTACTGCTATAAACATGTATGACCTGGCTTTAAACTTTTATGAAATACACAGATAATATTTGTCGATATATTTAATACCATGTTGATAAATGGCTTATATATTTATATGTATGTATATATATATATATATATATGTACACTGTTGTATACTTATGGTAGCTTTGTTCTATAAAGTTTCTACAAACACAGAATTAGCAATTACTGAATCATTGCTCCTAGAGAAAAAAATAGAAGGTTAGATTCCCAAGAGCCTCGGGTCTTGGCATTTTTGTCAATGAATCGATATATGTTTTGTGTGTATTTAACTTGAGGAATTAAGTTGAGGAATTGTTGATTCATTACATTGAACTCACGGACAATGACATTAATGACATTATAACTAATAAGTAAATAAAACTCACCTAACACACACACTTCCTAAGGTATGTCACAGTGCTGTTGCCGTCAGGAACTCTGGGCAAATTTCAGTACTACGCCTGGGGGCCATTTCAAACAGTAAAGTCACCAAAAAAAAGGAAACACCCGAACATGCAAAATATTGCACCAAATACACCACAAAAGGGTCACTTTTGTACAGCATGAGAGTGAAACAAGAGGGTAGGCTTTCCTTGTTCAGCCTCGGCATGGAATATAGGCATCAGGGAACTTTTTTTCCAGTCTGCAAATGCCCTTGTCTGAGAACGACTGCAAAATCATCATTAGTATTGATTTGGAGTTGCAAATAAATTATAAGGAGAGGGTAGATTCACAAACACAGAGCCCATGAATGCTGAGGATCAACTGTGTTCATGAATATTACATATTAAAGCCATTTGTAGAGAACTAGGAGTATTAAATGTGATGATATATAGAAATATAGTTTAAATAATAAATATGGTTATTAACTGGTAATTAACTAATAATATGGTTATTATATATATAATATAAAATGCCTTAGTACTTTCTTTTCTTCTTTCCTCATCCCAGTTGTTCCCTCCTTTGAGCAATTTCTTTCCCTTTCCTATTATCTATTGTACATTTTGGGTTTATTTACTCTTTCATATTCTTACACCAGGGAGATAATGTGATGTTTACACATGTGGGTCCGATTTATTTCACTTATGATTATGGTCTCTAGGTGTATCCATTTAGCTATAAAAGCCTCGAGTTTATTTTTTTATAGCTGAGTAATACTCCATGGTATAAAAATACCACATTTTTTTTATCCATTCCTCAGTTGATGGGCAGAACAGTTAATGATTAAAAGCTTTTTTTATATTTTTATATTTTGACCAGTTTTGCATGCTTATATCTGGTAATCTGAGCAATTTATGTGAAGACCACAATTTGCAGTATAAAAACCATTGGTGAATTCCTACAATCCTGTCTAGTAAAACTATATATTGTCTTAATATTCTTTTAAATTATTATTTTCTTATTCTGCTTAATGATTTGATCAATCTTCCATTCTTATATCTGGTAATCTGAGCAACTTCCTTGAAGATAACAGTATGTAATATAACAACCAGTTAATCCCTATCATTTGGTTTGAAGCCCCGTATCATTTTTAATGACCTTTTTTCTGTTTTGGTTTGTTTTGTTTTTCGTTTTTCTTCCGGTACCAGGAATCGAACTCACGACCTTGCACATGCCAGGCAGGCACTTTGCCGCTGAGCTAAATCCCCAGCCCCTTAATGACCTTTTTAATGTTTGTATTTCGCTATTGTTCTTTTTATGTACTATTTTCTTAAAAAAAATACAGTGTATGAAGGAGGAGTTGTTACCATTAGATGCATCCAATCACCCCAAGGTCGGCTGGAATTAGAACAGGCGCTGGTCTGGGTATACGCAGTCCAGGACACGCTCCACTACAGCCCTCCATTCACTCACTCTTCCCCCTTACCTGAGCTGTCTGTTCTCTCTTCAGTTTGAGCAGTTTCCCAAGATCTGCCTTTCCTCTGCCTCCCACAAGAGCGCTAAACATTTTAGGTGCCTCTTGTTTCGGTGGGATGAGGAAGGCGAGTCCTATCCTTGGTGGCGTTGCCTCCTTGAGCTTACCCTTCTGGGTTAAAAGTACTCTGCAGATAACAGAGAAAAGCTGTTTCGGGTAATTTTGTGAGAGTTTTGGCAAAACCTACCAGAAAAAACAGGTAATTTCTTCTATGGGTGAACTTTCAGCAGGTAACCACATTAAGTTGTATTTAAGCATGGCTCAAGGAGAAAGGCGACTACAATCCTAACAAATTTATCTTCATTTTAGATTTCATAGAGTAAAACCGGCTCTGTCCACTTCTGTTAGGTTTTAACAGTTGTACCTGGCTTTCTTCATGAGGAGCTTTTCAGAATCTGGATAATGCACTAGAATTTCTTGAAGGGTCTTTTTGTCCAGAGTTAAAAGACTGGCAAACCCGTGGGCTACCACATTGGCGGTTCGACGGTTTCCTCCTCCAGTTGCTAGAAGGCTACAAGAGAGAGAAGGGAGTCTTGGCCAGCAGTTTCATTCCTCCTTCACTGAGATCTTTTTAAAAGTGAACAGCAAGTGTTATAACCATTTCCTCCCAGAGTACACTTGTTCCCCTTAATAGTGGCCCATATTCAGAGAGAATACTTTACCAGACCCTTACCCTACCTGAAGGAAGAGCATTTTCCCCAGTGCGGACCCTCAAGCTGTCCCCACACAGGGGGAATGGGAAGCTAAGAAACTTTTGTAAGCTCATGGCACAGAGACCCCGCGCCCCAAAAGACTGTGACATAGTCATAATATTTTAGAATATTTCCCTCCCACCCACAGGTTTCCTGTGGGAGTGATTAGAGCTGACTCAGCAGTGGGAGGCAAACGCTCACTGAAAAGGTCGATTTAAGGAAGTTAAATCAACAGGGGAGTGGAAACAGAAACACAAGAGGAATCAGAAGCTCCTGGCCCCTACACTTACAGCAAACATTAAATACATGCCAGCTGCATGTGGTGGTTCATGCCTATAACCCTGGCTACTCAGAGGCTGAGACAGGAGGATCAAAGCATCAGGCCAGCCTGGGCAACTTAGTAAGATCCTATCTCAGTGTAAAAGTATCATAAATGGGGCCTGATGGGCGCATGCACAGAGGAGGATGAGGCAGGAGGGTCACAGTGAGTTTAAGGTCAACTTGGGCTATGTAGTAAATTCAAAGCTAGCTTGAACTACATAGCAAGACCCTGTCTCAAAAAGAAAAAAAAATACTGTAAATGTACAATGAAACCTTTAGGGCTGTGATTAAGTGTTTAAAAATTATAATTATTATGCTAAAAGAGGAGGGGAAAAAAGGAATCACATAAAATGTCCAATTAAAGCCTAAGCAAGGAAGAAAGAAAAGAAGGAGAAAAAAACCCTACTGTAAGGCCACCATATGGCAGCAAACAGAGTCACCTACTTTCATCTGACATTAGAGGTGGGGATGAGGAAGGGCAGTCCAGGGTTCTCTACACCACTTAAGGGAATTAGTCCTCCAGAACACAACGGCTATATTTGTAATCCATGGTGTGACTGTACTAATGCCTACTTATTTTGCTCAATGATTTTGCCATTCAGTTCTTTCACTCCATTCCCAAAGAACTCTTATTCTTGTCCTTCCCTAAGGTTCTTTCTGAGACATTCTCTGCCTTTGTCAGAAAAGCAAGAGAAATGAATTTTATTCCATCTGCCTATGTATCATCTCATCTGTCTGTCTGTCTGTCTATCCTTTCCCTCTCTGTCTCATGACAATTATGCTTTCACATACTTACCTACCAAAATTCCTATTTACTTGCCCATCTATGAAATGGATATTACGATTCAAAAGACAGTGATTGGGTAAGTCAATTTCATTCACATTCCCGTAGCCTCAAACATAGGGTAATCCAGTAGTTAGGCAGGGCTGGATGGCACTGGGGAGCTTAATTTGAATCTGAGAGTGCCTCTGTGAGTATGACAGACTATAAGAGGAGAACAGAAATAACATATTTAAATGTCAGGTTATTTTGAGATTTCTCAAGCTTTAATTAAACTTGCCTACAGGTTACACGTTTGGAGAGCTTGATGAGTTTTTGAACGGAAGAAATAGTCTGTCTGCCAGATGGATTTTGCCCAAACTCTCTCAGCAGTGTTTAAAATAGCATCTTTTTTCCCCTTCTTGTCCACAAAGTGCTGCTCTAACATTCAACCAATGGAAAGTTTTGCTCATTAAATCGCTTAGTAAGGAGCTTCCTAAATATTCCCAGCACCACATAGAGTTTCTCAAAGAGCTCAGGCCGGAGGACAAATGGTTCAGGTTAATGTTAAATGTCTCCAGGTTTAAAAAAACATGAAGAGAGGAATGGCCCAGGAAACAAAGAAACTGTTTCTAATCTTAGACTTACTTCTATTAGAAATGACCTTGGAGAATAACTGAAGGACTTTATTGATTTTCCCTTCAATCATATAAGTAGTAAGTCCCTACTACATATTCAACATGACGAGGTGAAGGAGGAGAAGAGCATGGTATGGTTTCGTGAAGGAATACAGGCTTTGGAACCAAGTACTTTGTAAATATATTTATGGACAGGTTACTAATCTCTCCTATAGGAACAAAGTCATTTTTATTACGTACTACAGCTACCTGATTATAAAGAACTAGCTGTTTAAGATATGCTTACTATTTGATTATGAAGAAGATACAGTTAGATAAATTCTGAATGAGCAGTTTAAAACCCTACTTTGTGGTATAAACTGAACACTGAACTACTTGTTTTGTACTAGTGTGCCAAAGTTGGATGAGTGATCAAAAGTGTGAATGTCACAGAGAGATGGAGTATTCAGTCACTATATGAGAGGACTTGTATGTCTAAATGTCAGGAACAAGCAGCAATTTGGATATACACATGCACCACCCAAACACACACTCCCTACAATTTGAAAGTGTTCTCCAAACTTCATGTATTAGAAACTTAATTTTCAAATTCATATGTTAATGGTATTTGGAGATGGGCCCTTTGGAAGTGATTGGAATCAGACGAGTCAGGACAGCAGTGTCCCTCCTGAGGGCATAAATGGCCTTAGCAGGAGAGCCAGCTGGCTTTGTCTCACCATGATGCCCCATACTATGATGAAGCAAGATGACCCCACTAGGTGACAGTGTCATAATTTTGGACTTTCCTGTTGGGGAAGAATGTCACAGAGTGTGAGTCAAATAATTGTGTATGCTTTGTAAATTACATATTGTTATGGCTTATGTCTACATGTCCCCGAAAAACCTCATTTGGCTCTGAAAAAGATGGCTCTTTTTCAGAGGTGGCTGGATCTAGAGTGTGTGATGATGGGATGGACTCATGGTATAACGCTGGGACAAGGGCAGTAAGATTAATGGTGTGACTACTACCCGCTCTAAGTAGCCTGGATAAGATAAAAGCGATAGAAAGAGGTGGTGTTGTCCCTTGTTGCTTTGCTACCTTCTGCCTGCCATGAACTGTTTCTCCTCTGCCATACCACTTTGCCTTGCAGCCAGCTGAGTATGGACTGAAATCTCTACAAACTGTGAGTTAAACAAACCTTTCCTCCTTTAATTTTGGGTGTCAGGTATTTTGTGTCAGCAATGAGAAAAGTAATTAAGACACATACGTTAACAGCATTGATACCTACTTTAATAGCAACAGAAAGTGGACACACACACACACACATACATATATATATCATACATAAGATGCATATATATTTGCATAATTTTTTTTACAGAAAGCTAGAGTGTTCAGATAGTTCTTAGTTGTTTATTCATTCCAAGTTTTTTTTCAGGCTTGCCACAGATGGCATTACCAATTCCGCACTGTGTGTGCACAGTATACTGTCTTGTGAAACCTTTGGACTTGTGGAGGGCACAACTTGTGCAGCCCTTTCTAGCACAGCCGCTGTATTCAGAAAGAACTCACATGGGAAAGGGGAAGGAAAGAAAGGGCACCGAGTGTAGAAGCAAAGGGCAAACAATTATGGGAATTTAAAATAGAGGTTATTTAAAAAGTCAAACTTTGATGTGAAAGCGTTTCAAATTTGGCTTTAAACCATGTTTTACTGCAATTAAATAAATGACTTCTTCATTTTAGGACAAATAGAAATATCTCCTGAAGGGGTTCATAGAACAAGACCACTTTTCAGAGGGGTTTTGTTACACAGTAACACAATGGTAGTTTGCTGGGACTATTCTTTTTATTTTAAAGAGAAAAAATGAAAACAATTTCAAAACAAGATAATAGGAGGGTAACCATGGTTAATACATTGTGTATTATTATCCTTAAATTAGTTACACAGAGGGCCAGGGATACAGCTCAGTGGCGTATGTGCCTGCCTGGCAAGTGCAAGGTCTTAAATTTGATTCCCAGTACAAAAAAAAAAAAATTAGTTACTCAGAGAACAAGATATTGGCATTTAATTATTCAAACAATATTAGCACAAACCTTTCTTTTCAATGAAGTAAGAAATAAGTAGTGTAACTATCTCATATATGTAAATATGTATATATCACAATATTTATATATATTATATACATATATATTTTGTCACTGGGACTATTTGTAACAGAATCCCCAATAAACTCTTTACGTGGCTCTCAAATACAGTTTAGTAAGAGTAATTCTATGAACAAAGCATGACTATCAGTACAATACATTCTAGATACCCAGCTCTTTGTTGCTCTGGAATGATCCATGGCGCTGATTAGAGTATTTGGAGAAACAATCCTTAAATATGCTTTTTCTCAGGTGGGTTTGTTTACTATCTATCTATTTTTGACATGTGAGGGACCAAGCCTAGAGCTTTGCACATGCTAGGTAAGTGCACTAATATTGGTCTACACTCCGTTTCCCAAGCTGGGCTCTGATAAACCCTCAAGTTTTTTTTATGAGTTGACGACTACATAGATGACTGTGTTTGGAGGCTAATTGTGCTGGGGAAGATAAATAATTCACTGTATAATGTGAAATGAAAGAGAAAAATAAACTAAACATAAATTATGAATGTAAACATATAGTACTCCACGGTGGGCTTGTTCTGGGTTTATACAGATGATTAACATCTGCTTTCAGCCTGTTTGTACCTGGGAGTAGAATAAGTTCATGTGAACACAGTCAAACTAGCAAATACTGATATCAGTAATAGCATTACTAGCTAACATTATTGAGGAGTATGAGACAAATAGTTTTCTAAGCTCATTGTTATTATTATTGTTATCATCATCATTATTATTTAGACAAGGTCTCGCTATGTAGTTCAGGCTGCCTTGAACTCACTATGTAGCCCAGGCTGGCCTCAAACTCACAGAGATCCTCCTGCCTCAGCCTCCCAAATGCTGGGATTACATGTGTGTGCCACCATGCCTGGCTATAAATTCTTTTTGTTAACCCCAGTAACACTTTTCAGTCCTACAAGGAAGTTATGTATTACTGTGACTCCATTTTGACAGATGAAGTAATGAAGTCTCTCAC